TACAGGCATGTGCCACCCTGCCTGGCACTAACTTTTTAAAAACTTATAAATACTTGGGCCGGGGTTATGACTCAGTGATAGTGCACTTGTCTGGCATGTGTGAGGCACTGGGTCCAATTCTTAGCACCACATATAAATAAATAAATAAGGGGCTGGGGCTGGGGCTTGGTGGTAGAGCACTCATCTCGCATSTGTGAGGCCCTGGGTTCGATGTTCAGCAACCACATAAATAAAATAAAAAGGTATTGTGTCTACCTACAACTAAAAAAAATCTAATAAATTAATAAAATACAATAAATCGTGTCCATCTACAACTAAAAAACATTTTAAAGAAACTTACAAATATTTAAAGAGAAAAAACTTTAGATAGTCAAGAGTAAGCACTTATCTTAAACATGGAGCTGGCATGACAAGAAGGGAAAAGTACTTATCTACTCATTATATTTTATTTTTTTAAATGTTTTTTTAGTTGTAAATGGACACAATACCTTTATTTTATTTTTTATGTGGTGCTGGGGATCGAACCTAGTACCTCACGCATGCTAGGCAAGCATTCTACCACTGAGCTACAGCCCTAGCCCCTATTCATTATATTTTATAGTAGCCATGTAAGGAAGCATACACTTACCCTTAGGCCAAATATTTTTTCTATTTTTAATGGACATTTGCTTAAAATATATCTGAATTTTAATATTTAGCCCCAAATAGTTTTCCAACATCTATTATATTCCAATTAAATGCTGTATCTGGTAATGCTTTAAACCAATAATAATAATAACTAATGGTTCTATTCAGAAATTATAAGTAGTGTGCAGGGTTCGTATCCATATCATTGGTGAAGCCAACTTAAAAATATGATTTGAAACCAGATGTGGTAATGCATGACTATAATGCTAGCAGCTTGTAAGGCTGAGGCAGGAAGATCCTGTATTCAAAGCCAGCCTCAACAACTTGGTGAGRTGCTAAGTAACTTAGCAAGACCTTGTCTAAAATCTAAAAAAAGGCTAAGAATATGTCTCAGTGGTTAAGTGCCCCTGATTTCAATCCCTTGTACAAAAGATATATATATATATAATTTATGATTTGAACATCTCATTAATTATCAGCAGGCAATCATTCTGACTATTGAGAAACACTGCTGGTGCTTCCAAAGCCTCCCCTGCTTTTCTTTTTCCTACTAATTCAGTCTTACATGTTGTCAGTCAAGAAAGATTTACAGGGCTGTGGATGTGGCTC